ATATAAGAAAGCTAACAATTAACTAGACTTACCAGAGCTGCGATAGGAATTGGAGTGAGTCGTTTTAGCCGACTAATATGATCGAATAACTATACACACGCACTCGCACGAGCGAACGAGCGCGTGCGCATACACAACATACGCAGTAAATCATCTGTGCTAGACATACAGTACACAGAAAAAAGACAAATATGACAAGAATTTGATGAAGTACGTAAGAGTGCAGGCTCGATGATGTTTGATCCTTACAGTAAAATACAAGCACAAAAATCCTCTCTATTCGTGTTAATTCTACGTGCAGTGTATATTAATAATCACATACACTTGCTAGTACAAATAATCCATACACATACTGCCTAAAGTGACAAAGGTGTTACTGCATAGAAAAAGAAAACTTCACCATAATCATTCCATGCCCAATCCTCTCTACTTGACGGTATCTAATGCGAGGCTCATCATGAACTCAGCAGACGTAGGCTGTTTTGCATGATTTAACGAACGTCTTAACACGCGCGGAACACGTTGGAAAATAAGAAACAGACGCGTCTTGTCTGTCACTGAATTCAGCATGGGCCAAAACACATGGTTAATCGATATAAGCCTTATACATAGACAAGGTTGTTTTTAATTTACTATATATACGGGGTCGACGCTCTGTTATGTGAATGTCAATACGTGAGTGTCGTGTATAAATGAAACACGTTATGAGTATATTTCGAGTGTGTTTGCCTAGAATGAAGAGACATGTGTCGTTCGAGTCCTATTGCCCATGTAGAGAAAACGTACCGGAAATAGAAAATACATATGTATATACGTACGTCGACTTCGCACGATTCGAACGTTATATTTATCACAGTGTTCGTTGATCAAATATATAGACCATACGAACACCGAAAACTCCCATAGGAATCTATGTCGTATTGAGTTTGTTGCGCTTCTTTACTATTTCTCGCGGCTGGATGCATATTTGAATATCATCACAAATTCATGCCTATTAGAGAAATCCGTTGGCCAAATTTTTCAAAGAATATCAACGTCGATCATAATTACACGTGATTATATTCGACGAGTGCAATCTTATTATTGTCACTCAAACGCTGCTTGGTGCATCAAGTTTGAACTTTGTGCAACGATAAACAGTACCGCTATAAGTTATTGTCTCTGTGTGCGTATAAGATCAACATGGCTATGAATTATACAGAGTGAGTTAGTTGAAGTAGAACATCGAAGCGATTTAAACTTCAAGAATTTATTGACTCGAATTCTTAACGATCGTCGACCTAACTGTATCTTTTCAGAATCATTATTTTCAAAGTTATCCACCTTATCACTGTCTTTAAATAAATCTACAAGTTTTTACTTGGCACGTTTGCAACGCTCGACCAGTTCGAAGTTAGAACATCCTTCGTATGAAACAGGAAAATATTTGATCTTTTGTAAAATATCACGCAAATTCAACTATTTAATCTACCGTAAATATATTAATGGTTTGCTTTTACACCATGAAGTTCTTTCTGAAGAAGCTAATATTCAAGAAAAGAGGAACCTGCTATTTGGTCAAATTGAAGCCCAGAAAATCTGAAAGAATACATAATTAAAGGCTCGAGCTCAATATTAGCTCCGTAAAATTATCGGATAAGGTGTTGCAGTCTTTTAATACGGACTGTACTAGATAAAGGTACTTATTGCCAAAGGACATTGATTTCAATATTTTTAACTGTATATTTGAATCCTACGATTTTGAACTACACATGCAAGGGAGAAACATATAGATTCATTTATGAAGATATTGATAACCTTGGTAACTAGAAAAACAATGCCTAGAACAACGATATTACTAAATAGTTTTAGACTGTTTTCTGTTTTCAATGGCTCACTCTGCACACCCATATGCATAATCGTGTAGAAGTATTTATTTTAGATATTTAAAGGGATTATATACCGATAGTATTGGGTTTATTGTCGCCTTACAAAAAGCACAATCGCGCTAACGCAAATTATAAAATGATATTCAATTTAAAAAGAACGTACATATGACTATAATAGATCTTCCCTAATATAAGAATTCGATTGCTGGCCCTTTGGCAATTCTTTTGCAAAATCAGAATAGCGCGTCACACATGATTAGCAGTATACATATATATGCGTATACATAGCTTTAGATATGTGTATCAATACATACGCATGTAAACAGTACACAGGGTGAGTCATACAAACTGTTACGCGGTGTTTTTTCGAAAAGTGACAGAGATACAACTCTTTTTACGAAATTTTCATTAAGCGGAGACTTTTGCAGAGTGAGGAATGTTGTTATTGCATCTAGAGAACGAAAGGAAGTTCATTCGAAGAATTTAGAAGCATGAACGACGTACGAACTTTTGTTAAACATTTGTTAAAGGCCAGAATAAGTAATACTTTCTGATTTCAAAATCCCTGACATAGGAACTTAACACGGTTATGTTTATATTGTATTTATGCGTGTATGTTGCCAAATGCACGCAAAAGTAAGGTTATTATTTTAAATGCCTAATGACATTATTTCGGAGCTAAGAACTAATATCGTATAAAACATCTTCAATTTTTGCACTTTTTTTTTAAACATTTGAAATAACTGTTGTTAAGATTGACAGGACTCGGTAGAAGATTCGTAAATTTTATTATTAACGCATAAAAACGTCTGTGAATGTATTTCATTTCGTTCCCTATACGATCCAATAACATCATGTTAAATCTGCGCAAAAATTTCGTAATGAAATGTTCCTAACAATATACAGGGCGTTTGAAAATTTGCGCCATTTGAAATTACTAAATGGTAGTTGATACGAAACAAATGTGAAAACGTTTCATCGATTACTTTTCATACAGAACACGATAATGTAAAGCAAAAATTTTGCGTTCAAATTTTTCAAAATCATTTCGAGGTGGCTTCGCATTTTTTAAACAGAACGTGATATTTCTGTTTCAACATAACGAAAGAGTAGAAAAAGACAAATTCAAAACATTACGTTAAAATGACCTGGAATTAATCCAAAGTCGCAAAGGAGAAAACATCTTTGAAACGGGCAAGGATGAAGTTTCCTGTCTTTTTACTCTCTTTGTTTATAGAGTACGTCCAAAATGAATTATCAATTTTTTTGGAAAAAGTGAATTTGTATGTGCACTTAAATGGGTGGTCCCAGCATCAAGGTGCTGCACCGCATTGTGCATTAATAGCAAGGAAGCAGTTAAATGACAAAGGTATGTTTCCAAATCGATGAATTGGACGTAGTGGACCAATAAATTGACCTGTGAAATCACCGGACTTAAGGGGATATTCTAGTGATCACGCCGAAAATTTCAGCAACATTCACGATTTTTTTCAGTCTGTACAATAAATAACAACGTCAAACTTTTTTCACTTATTATATCGAGGCGTTTGTAAAGCTTGCAAAACAATGTTTTAAATAGCTCTTTAATTGTTTGTCTAATGCTATATCTGGAAGTAAAGACAGCGTCTTTAAAAGAAAGTTGCTTCGCTGGCAGAATTGATTTCAGCTCACAAACTCATCCAAAACAAAGAAATCAAAAGCATTTACAGTTGGTATGAGTACCGTTATCACAGGTACCAGAATTAGCCATGTAAGCCAAAATTTAACAAAATGGCGTACATTCGAAATTCAAATATCGAAATTTTCCTGTTTTTTTTTTTTTAAGTGTTTCGACGTATAACATACCTATGAAATATTCAACATAGAAATGTAAATATGGTACCTGCGAGCGCCAATTGTATGTAGAATGACGTGTTAAAATTTCAAACCGACTGGCTGGTTAGATTTTTTCCATTTTACTTCCGTCTATTGAAAAAAGAACGTTTCGAGAGAAACGCTTTTACAGACTGAGTATGAAATTTTCGTGCGATATGTATGCTTGCGACTAATCGACAGTGGCAGCACGTATTTATTCACTTGCAATACACCATTGTACTACACAGTTACGTTAAAAAGGGTTATGCTACTATATTACTTCAGGTTAGAAAGAGATGGTACAACAGAAACAGATAAAGATGAGCTAGGTATTGCCGAAGCGGCGATTACAGAAGGCTGTTAAAAACGAAATATTTCAAATTTTACTGCAGAGAAACAGAACATTCTTGAAGGTTCATACTTCGGAAGAAAACGAAAAATTGATTTTTTGAAAGGTCTAGACTAGAATACCCTCTTAACACCGTTGGACTATCTTTTACGGAGATATTTAAAAGACACTGTTTATCAAAGGCACCAGAGATTCTTAAGAAACCGAATTAGTGATGCATATGCAAATGTACTAGAACAAATGGTTGGCCCTGCGGTGAAACGAAGATTTCCAAATAGAATACAGCAATGTTTAACAGCTGAAGGTGAAAATTTTGAACATGCTTTATAAACAAAGAGAGTAAAAGGGGAGAAGATTTTATCCTTGCCCGTTTCAACGATGTCTTCTCTTTTGTGACTTTGATGTAATTGATT